TCCCCCCTCCCCGACCCCCTCTCCCCCCCCGCGGGGGGGGGGGGGGGGGGGGGGTCCCTCCTAACATTCCTACCAGTTCTAAAGGGTCTGGTACGAATTGGGGGGGGAACCTCATGCTTTTTTTTTCTACTTCTGCAGACTGTAAAAAAAAAAAAATGTCGCTTTGCTGCTGCTAACGAATTTTGTCCAAATCCCGAAACATATTGAATTTCGAACCCCAATCCCGAAAAACGAAATCCGAATCAAACAAAACGAAACAAATTTTTTGACGGTGCACATGTCTACAAAACCATTTTATTAAAAATAGAGCAGGAAAGGGGTTTTAATTGCTTCAGGCTGACTGTGTCCCCATTGAAAAGATTTTGCCTTCACTTTCTGTCTCAATGATCAAACAGGAAGTAAGAGATTTTTTGGGACAACAAATCAATAAAAACCTGAAATAGGTGCTAACATTTTTCTACTCTTCCAAAGGTATGGAAAAAATTGTCCAGGTGGCATGGAGATGCTCAAAAGTTGAAAATCTCAGCAAACATCAACAAAGCATTTTGAGAAGCACTTATAATCACCTCTTAAAAATACCCCCACTTGATCTATGCATTGGACTGTTGGATCAGGGTGGGACTGGCCTGTTAATGTCCAGCCTAAGAGCCTTCTTAAAAATATATTTTAACTTCTTGTTCAATCATTTTTATTGAGATTGGAATAATAGCATGGTAAAGCTTAAAGGAGAACTATGGGGTCAGTGTTTTTCCCCATAGTTCTCCTTAGGGTAACGGGAGGACACAAACTAGCGTCCTCCCGTTACCCTAAGCTCAGTATACCGCAAGCTACAGCTCGCGGTATACTAAGACGACGCATGAACCCGGTATGTGTTCGCTCACCTCCCGATCTACTGAGCCGACCTGTGACAGTCTCATTGTCACAGGTCGGCTAGAACTATGAGGTGAGTGGAAATCACTCATCTCATAGTTCTCCTTTAAAGGTTATTAAACCACCAGGTGTTTTTGCAAAGATCTACTGCTAGCAAGCTGCGCGCTCCCATCCGAAAAATCTCGGGCGACCCCAAAGGATCGCAGATTTTCAGCCGGGAGACGAGGAGAGACACGAGCTAAGTCTATGGAAGCGTGCACATGCAAGCAGACAGCGTGGGACAGGAAGTGCCAGCAAGGACACAGGAGTCAGCGCTGGATTGGAGACCTGCTGCAGTGCTGGAGGGACAGCTGAAAACGACACTAACGAAGAAGATCGGATTAAGAAACATAATTTAAGGTAAGTGCTTACACTTACATTGGGGGGAGGGAACATTTTTTTTAGACTTTAATGTCACTTTAATAAGATGTATCTATTAACCTGCTATTTCCAATTTTTCCAATTTAGGGATATTCCTGCAACAGCTAGTGTCCAGCAGCAACCTTGGGAAGTTTGGAACAGGAGCATAGAGGTTTCTGATAAGGAAATGGTAAGAAGAAGGAGATAGGGCACACGAGAAAGGAGAGGAAGGGGGTAAGAGACAGAGGGACTTCAAAGAAAGAATGCAAAGAGGGGGGAAAAAAGAGGAATAAAAAGAGAAGGAGGGAGGATGGGGAATGTAATGATTGGAAAGGTATTGGTATGTTGTGTGGGGAAAAATATATTAAGTGTATATTAATGTTTATTTAATAGATTAAATATATATTAAAGTTTACCTTCTGCATCATAAAAGTAATAATACCGGTTCTTACCAGCCCTGAAAATTTCAGGATATCCCCACCTATCGTCCACAGTTCACCAATGTCCTTCAAATTGTAATTCAAGTACAGGCCAGCAACAATGTGAGCTTTACAAAATAATTTAGCCGTGGTTTCCTAAAAATATAAATAAAAGTAAATCAGCGTTGGAGTAAATCAGGATCAAACAATCATCCCCGCACAGTTACCTCCTCATGTATCACTTGCCCCCCCTTTTAGATTGTAAGCTCTCAGGGGCCGGGCCCTCCTTACCATCTTGTCTTGATTTGTACTGTGATTGTAATGTCTTCCTTATATTGTAAAGCGCTACGCAAACTGTTGGCGCTATATAAATCCTGTATAATAATAATAATAATAATAATAATAATTTGCTGCTCCGACTGAAGATTCTAGAGTTGTGAAGGGCAGATATGAGGTTCATAGATCATTTAAATATTTTATAACATGAACAACCCAATTGCAGAACTATTTGGATAATTTCCCTTCCAAACATTTGAAATGAGGGATTAAAGTAAGCCTATACTTTTAGACTGTAAGCCCTCGGGGGCAGGGCCCTCCTTACTATCTTGTCTTGAATTGTATTGTGATTGGAATAACTTCCTTATATTGTAAAGCGCTGCGCAAACTGTTGTCGCTATATAAATCCTGTATTATAATAATAACCTCAGTGATACACAAATAAGCTACATTGTTGTTAATAGTTAAAGTACTTGAATTTAGTTTAACTTTAACTAAGGTGGGGATTCCCTGCACTCTTGGCAGGCCTAATGTGGCCAAACACCCGCTATTAAATCCTAACAATTATACCTGTATGAAGGTCAGCCTAATTCTATGGCATTGGAAATATTTTGGAAAACATTCAAACAGACCATGTAAATATTAGAAAATATGTATGGTTCAGAAATGATCAGATAATAGCTCCCTTCTTGCATGGTTAGCACTTACATTCATTTGACTTGCTTTCATAAGAGGAACAAATACTGTGAAAGGACCAAATTTCCGTAGCGCCAGTGCACACCCTTCCTCTGGTAAAAAGAAAATCTCAATTACATGCAAACTCTTTTCACTGAATAGGTAAAGTACTGTTTTATTTTGCTGTAAAACAGCATATTTCTGATATTTTAACTTTAAGCCAAGAGACAGTTAGACCAAAGGACAGGTATTAGTAACCTGTCGCACCAGATTACCATGTGAATTTCCAAATATACTATTGGTTATTAAAATGAATGGTAATGACTCAAACAAAGCAAATATTCCCAGTGGATTTAGAGAAAGCTCCATATCACAAACCAAAGAGTAAGTGAAAAATAAAAAACCTGAAAATAATGCCGACATAAAAATATTATAATTTACACCGACAGTCTGCGTCCATGTGCGTGCAGCCGCCTGTACATTCCTATGGGAGTAATGTTAGATAGAACAAAACTGCGCTAGGAATCAAATAACACTCTAAAAGCAGCTGTGCTTAATAGGCGAGTACACCCAAAATAGGAAAAAAGAACAAAACACTGTGCTTCACAAACTAAAAAAATATATTCCTAAAATGTGAGAAAAATTTTATAAATTGTGAAAAATTTTATAAATTGTGCTATTTTCTTTATTCCTATGGGAGGTTAAGGTCAGCATTTAGCCGAGTGCAGCCACGTCCTCCCATAAGGATGTACAGGTGGTTGAACGCAAATACACGCTGCACCTGTCCCTCCCGGGATCAGGACTCTGCACAGGCAGGCACGCTGTACGGATGCGCACTACTGTGTGAGTGAGCCCAAAAAAGTAAAATCCAGATCTGTAATCAGTAATGCCATAAGCATGCATCTCACCAAAAACCCTTAATGCTCCACTCTGTTTTTTCAAGTCTGTGCTCTCAATGTTAAACTTCTGAATCTCATACAAAAGGCTACCATAGCAATTTCTGCCATCCCCGATTTCTCCTTCCATGCAAACGCACCTTCAGGAAACAAATGTAACAGTTTAATGTTTTCCTAAAACGATATTTAAATCACAAATTAATTTAACTATAAACATGTGCTTGGGTTAAAACATGTAAATTAACGCTACTGAGATTTTGCAAGTGCCTAAACATGCCAAACCAGTGCCTAAACATTTATTTTCATTACAAAAGAACTAGAAAGTATTGCTACAGTCCATTAAAGCTTTTATGCAAGTATAGACTGATTGTATCTGGCCTGCAAGACAGGCTTCCTACTGAAGGAGACAGGGGGCCCATACAATAATAATAATACATATTACAAGATTTTAGTCAGAGACGGTATGGCAAGAGTCAATGTGTCTGGGCTCAGGTAGTTGCACAACTTTTGCAAAATATGTGGAAGCCACACTGTCAAGGCCCCTCTGTGTAGCAGGGACGTGTGGCCAGGGGAGGCAGAGTCTCACCTGCCTCCCTAGTAACATGGAGGAAAAAACTGTCAGCTTCAAGTCTGAAGCTAACATCTTTTTCTTCATTCAGACCGGATTCTAACAGGTTACACAGCAGGAAAAGCCTCCCCGCCGTGTAACCTGTCATGGATGAAGCGCTGCTTTGGTAATTGCAGGCGGCGCTGCATCCGGCATTTGACAGCTAAGTTAGGTTACACAGCATCGGGCTTCCCCACTGCTTGTGTAACCTAACATAGTGAGGCAAGAGCTGCAACAACCTCTACTCTGCTTTAGAGGCTGAGTTCTGTGGATGGTTTGGACCAATGGCATAGCACCATTGGTTCAAGCTGTCCAATCAAAACAAAAGGAAAAAAAACCCTGAGGACATTGATCTCGATGCCTCACCAGTGACGAGCAAGTGAGGGACAGGGAGGCACCTCCACACATAGCTTGGTGACCAGGTAGAGGGGCGGGGCGTCGGTGGGCTGGGGGCAGGGAATGCCTCACCCAGCACAGAACATACTGCACGTCACTGCTGTGTATTGTGGTCCTAACTCTATTCTATGAGAGCCTCCATCTTGGAGCACATATAGCAAAGGATGAATTGGGTGACACACAGTGGAAACGGGGCAGCACTCAGCGCACACACGCAATGCCCTACACGTGCATTTTTTAGCCTGCAGTTGGCGGGGTTGGTTTTATCTTTTTTTTTAATATTTTTTATTATTTTTTACTTTTTTTTTTTGCTGTGCTTGATCTTCTGTATCGGAGGGCAGGCTCCATAAAGAGAACCTCTCACCTCCAAATGCTATCAGATAGGGGCTTGTTAGCCCCTGTGTGATAGCAATAAAGTGGAAAAAATTATAAAATTAATCAAAATTAAAAAGTAAAAAATAATAAAATAAATAATAAAAAAAGATAAAACCAACCCCGCCACCTGCAGGCAAAAAAATGCACGTGTAGGGCAGTGTGTGTGTGCGCTGAGTGTTGCCCCTATTCCACTGTGTGTCATATTGTGGTAGCCAGGCAGCAGCGCTCTTTAACACACACAATGTGCATTAAACCTTTCAGCGAATGGTCCTTCCCCTCCGCCAGTATGGGTGTACTGGCGTCCATCGCAGCTCTGCACTATGGATTTAGAATTTTGCTTGCAAATTGAGAGCGCTGGCCAATTAAAAGTGCCTCTTAGCACGGTTAAATACGGTTTTGGTTAAAATGATTTTTTGTATCATGACAAGTGATAGTTATGAGAGACAAGTAGATTGGGCCCCCGCTTTAGACCTTTGGACAAGTAGTTTTTTTTTTATTCCACACCCCTGACTGCATGCAGCAAAACTTTCCAAGGGACAAAAGAGGCTTGCATCAAGACAGATTCATGTACTGTTTTTTTACCTGTAGTTCTGTTCACACCATGTCTGGAGCAGATCTGCAAATGCAGTACAGTACATTTTTACCAGTATTTTGCTGCGATTTTACAGCGTTCCAGAGTGTTTTTTTTTTTAGCTTAAATGGGCTTTCAGGTGCGGTCCAGTGCGTTCGTATGCATTTTTGATGTGTTTACATGCATTCCAGACCAGACAAAATGAGACCAGCAGTATTTTTTTTGTCTTTGTCTAGACCGGAACGTACTGCGCTGGTGTGAACAGAGCCCAGAAATACCATAGGGATACATTGGGATGCTTTTTTGGTCCGGGAACAAACTGTTCTGGTCTGGACATGATCCGGACATGGTGTGAACAACCCTCAAAACTGACTGAAGACAGGAAAAGCTTACTTGTGTTTTCCAGGGGACACTACTTCACAGTGTGCACTCTTTCCACAAGTGAGTGAGCGACAAACGTCCGGCATAGTGCACTGAGAAGGCGCACCTCGACTTATCAGTCCAGGGAGACAACTGCAATAAGACTGGAAGTTACCGATAGTCAGTACAAAGAGCTCAAAAGTGTAAGCAGGCAGCAAGATGTAAAATAGATTATACATGTTACACTTTGTTGTGGAGTGCATGGAAGACCTTATCAGGATTAGGGTGAGGTACATGGGTGATTTGAATGTGTCTTCTGCTGAATTGCATTAGCACATGTATACCCCATCCCATAAACTTGGTAGGGTTGGGAAGGACATTCAAGTTCTAAAAACACCCAATGCTGAGTTTTATCATTGTACATTGTACACAGGAGTACTTGCAGGGAGGGCTGCGTACATGGAAGAAGCAACCTCTCTCTCTTACAGCTCAATATACTCGAACTATGAATTATGAAAAGGATTAGGAGAATGGGGAGGAAGGGTTAGACTTTATATAAGGCAAGTTTTTGAGTACTGATCATTTTAATAGCGAACAGAGGTATGTGCAGGCACATTTATATGTCTGCTAAAGGAAAATAAATAATAATTACTAGGTTCACCTAAATAGCTAGGGCCGCTTATCATGTGTTCACCGCTTCTTCTTGCTAAAACACCACATTAAACTGTGGAAAAGTGGGGAAAAATAGATAATATATGCTCCCAGTGAGGGTGACCTCATCATCCTTTTGGTAAAATTCCAGGCCATGTTAGGTTTCCCAAATCTTGAAAGAAGATGCCGTAGCACAGCGCAGGATTGTCTTCTCACAAGTTTTGGGCTTCAATATTTCCTGGGATCTGGAGTACTCGGCATTCCCTGGGATCTGGAGTACTTGGCATTGCCTGCGATCTGGAGTACTTGGCATTGCCTGGGATCTGGACTACTTACCATTCCCTGAGATCTGGAGTACTCAGCATTGCCTAGGATCTGGAGTACTCAGCATTCCCTAGGATCTGAAGTACTCAGCATTCCCTAGGATCTGGAGTACTCAGCATTCCCTGGGATCTGGAGTACTCAGCATTCTCTGAAAGTTGGAGTACTCGGCATTCCCTGGGATCTGGAGTACTTGGCATTGCCTGCGATCTGGAGTACTTGGCATTGCCTGGGATCTGGACTACTTACCATTCCCTGAGATATGGAGTATTTGGCATTCCCTAGGATCTGGAGTACTCAGCATTCCCTAGGATTTGGAGTACTCAGCATTCCCTAGGATCTGGAGTACTCAGCATTCCCTGGGATCTAGAGTACTCAGCATTCCCTTGGATCTGGAGTACTCAGCATTCCCTGGGATCTGGAGTACTCAGCATTCCCTGGGATCTGGATTACTCAGCACTGCCTTGGATCTGGAGTACTCAGCATTCACTGGCATCTGGAGTACTCAGCACTCTCTTGGATCTGGAGTAATCAGCACTCCCTTGGATCTGGAGTACTCAGCATTCCCTGGGATCTGGAGTACTCAGCATTCCCTGGGATATGGAGTACTCAGCATTCCCTGGGATCTGGAGTACTCAGCATTCCCTGGGATCTGCAGTACTCAGCATTCCCTGGGATATGGAGTACTCAGCATTCCCTGGGATATGGAGTATTTGGCATTCCCTGGGATCTGGAGTACTTAGCATTCTATGAAAGTTGGAGTACTCAGCGTTCCCTGGGATCTGGAGTATTCAGCATTCCCGGGGGTTTTGGAGTATTCAGCATTCCCGGGGATCTGGAGTATTCAGCATTCCCGGGGATCTGGAGTATTTGGCATTCCCTAGGATCTGGAGTACTCAGCACTCCCTTAGATCTGGAGTAATCAGCACTCCCTTAGATCTGGAGTAATCAGCACTCCCTTGGATCTGGAGTAATCAGCACTCCCTTGGATCTGGAGTACTCAGCATTCCCTGGGATCTGGAGTATTAAGCTTTCCCTGGAATCTGGAGTACTCAGCATTCCCTGGGATCGGGTTGGCAGGATGGTGACATCACCTCCACACTAGGGAGATTGGGGGAAAGGTAAGTACTGTACATTAACTAAAGTTTTCCCCAGAAGGGTTTTTTATGTGTAATGCAGTGTTTTAGCAAGGGGGGGGGGCACACAGAAAAGGTGAACCCAGCCTGGAGTGCAAGGTCCGCTTTATTATCAGTGACAAAAAAAGATCATTGTTTTCTGCAATGGAAAAATCAATGTCATTGGATCTTGTTGCTTACCTTTCCTGGACTTCGATATACACATTTAGTAGTGTTCTCTGGACATCCTCCGTTGTTAATTGAACATGGATTAAAAGCCAGGCAAGTCTTTCCATCCCCATAGTAACCAGATTTACAGGTACATGTGTACTGGCGTGGCCCCGTTACCTTGCAGTCTGCCCATGTATTGCAGGGTGAAGACTTACAAGGGTCTTCGGCTGTAAAATGAAAACATATGACATAATGTATAAAAATGACAAAAGTTTATTTTTGGAATAATCCTAACAAAGTTTATCTAAACCCAAAAACTCAACATAGTTGTTAACACTTAAAAGAGAACTATGGGGTAACCTTTCTATCCCATAGTTCTCTTAAGGGTCACAGGAGGACATATTCTAACGTCCTCCCATGACCCAAAGCTCAGTATATAACGACCTATTGCTCATTACATACTGAGAGCGGCGCAGCCGGGACGGATCCCCACATCGAGCTGCGTGAGTGACAGCTGGCTCTGCCTATCTAAAGGCAGAGCAAGGTGTACCCGCCCCTCCCCCGTCCGCTTCTCCAGTCAGCGCTGGAGGATCAGAGCGGGGAGGGGGGAATCCCTGCGGTAAGCCGTGACTGACAGTCACCACTCTCTGCAGGGAGCTGATCGGAAAGTGAGCGAGCAACGGTATGCGTTCACTCACTTCCCGATCTATAGAGCCGACCTGTGACAATTGTGTGACAGTTTCATTGTCACATGTCGGCTCCAACTATGGGGTTGAGTGATTTTCACTCACCTCATAGTTCTCCTTTAATGGATGACATTTAGTTTACTTAAACAATTGACATTTTTTCCTAAGAGGGCACTAATGTAAGGGAACACAACTAATTATTAGTTGTCCCCATCAGAGTGGCACCTTACATTGATTGTCCCCATCAGAGTGCCACCTTACATTGATTGTCCCCATCAGAGTGCCACCTTACATTGATTGTCCCCATCAGAGTGCCACCTTACATTGATTGTTCCCATCAGAGTGCTCCCTTACATTATTTGTCCGCATCAGAGTGCCCCCTTACATTATTTGTCTCCATCAGAGTGCCCCCTTACATTAATTGTCCCCATCAGAGTGCCCCCATAGCTTTCTTCAGCAGGAAGAGGGTGTGAGCCAAGAGGAGGAGCAGGCTGAAGGTCTGGATGACTTCCGTCATCCTGTTATGCAGGGGACGGGGCACACATGTGACATCATTGGTTGTTAGGACGTTGGCAGTCCTAGCAACCAATGAAGGCAGGGAGTGAGTATGTGCAAGCTTTGGTTGTTAGGATGCAGGCGGTCCTTGCAACCCATGACTGTACTGGGTTATGACTGGCTGGCAGTGGATGTGCCAGCCTTGAAGAGTCTAATCCATAGCAGATCTACTGTCAGCCAGCCAATCAACCATAACATGGTCGCGGTTCGTAAATAACTGTCACTCAGTCTGTGCCTGGACTGCAGTTCACCATTTAGTAACCTGCAGTGGCAACTCTATGAACAATATATAGTGGGGGCACATAAGATACCACAGTCAAAACTGGGGAGGCACTAATAATTTTCACCACTAAATCATACAACTGAAAAAAACTAAATAAGTATATATAAATAAGATGACAAAATACGAGAGTAATGCGGTATCCAATGATGCCTTTTTGTTGTACTAACCTATATATATAATATATACTGTACCTGTGTGGGGACAGATGGGTTAGACCCAGGGCTAGAAGTGCGTGGTTGGATGTCTCCCTCTTTTCCTCCTGTGCGGCTATCTACCATAGAGCGCTGGGAGTGATGTCACTTTCTCCCAGCACTTAGCATTGCCGTGGAGGAAACGAAGAGGGAGATTCTGGGCGTTGTCGGATTATATGTCGCAACTGCCGGGCGCCGAGAGCTGATTTAATTGCGGATGGCATCGGTGCCCGGCAGTTGCGGCATTCAGGATTGTGGGCGGCGTCAGACTACATGTCGCAAATCGCAGGGAGCTGATTTCATTGCAGATGGCATCGGCACCTGGACATTGCAACATGTTATCCAACGCCACCCACAGTCCTGAATACGGCAACCGCCGGGCACCGATGCCATCCGCAATGAAATCAGCTCTTGGCGCCTGGCGGTTGCGTTATACAGGATTCAAATCCCGTAGCGGCAGCCTAATTTAGCGGGCAGGGGTAGATCCAGAGTCTAGTGTCGGGATGGGTACTGCCAGAAAATAAGGTGTTGCTTACAGAACAGAATATTGTAATAATACATTGCGTTGCAGTTGTTTGTTATGTATAACAGCAATTGTGCCTTTTTTTTTTCTTTTTACACATCCTGAAATTTTTGTGTGCAGCAATGGAATCTCTGCCAAACAAAATTTGGCACATTACTGTCATTAAAATGGGTCTGTAATCCACACTGCACATTATTATGTTTTGTTGCTGTAGAGCTTTGTAAGACACATGATCCAGGCACAGTGTGAAGGATGGGGGGCCCCAGACTGAAGGAAGGGGGGCCCGGGAACCTGCAATGTCGGCAGTTACGAGGGCCCCTCCTTCTGGGCCCCCCAAGTGGTGGAATGCCAGGGCCCAGTCACAGACCCTGGTAGTTCTGCAGAGGACTACAAATCCCAACAATACATTATACAGCAATGCAGAATACCACCAGCTATTAAGCACTACAAATCCCAGCAATACATTATACAGCAATGTAGAACAGTATCTGAATTGGACTCTGGACTTGGTAACGTACTGGACTCTGGACTTAGTAACGCACTGGACTCTGGACTTAGTAATGCACTGGACTCTGCACTTAGTAACGCACAGGACCCACCTGAGATCCTGCAGAGCCCAACGGAGACCCCACACACCCCACCTGAGAGTGACCCTGCAGAGCACACCATAGATCCTGCACAGCCCATCCGAGACTTTTTATGGTGGGCTCTGGAGGGTCTCAGGTGGGCTGGTCGAAGGGGTCCCTTTCCCTGCACATGCTCCTTACCTGGCTACCACTGCTGGGGACTGGCCTCTCCTGCCGCCAGGCAAGCGTTGATGGGGCCTGGCGTCTCCC